CAGAAGCCATTTTCCCGTGTCTGTCTTCCGCCTGTGAGTGTGAATTTCTCCACGATGTCAGGTTGCACTTGTGCCTTCAAGCTGCACTTCTGACCTCGTGTGGTCAGGTACCCTGACATTCATACTCACCCCTAACAATGACCATTTTTAAAGGCTGCATGTCGCCAACTGGTATTTTTCTAGACATTTTCTAGTGGTTGGATCTGTTAGTCACATGTAAGCTTTCGCTTTTTCAGAGAACCTGGCAGAGAGCCAGCATTAGTACTTTCCTTTTCCAGAAATATATTCCTTCCTAGTCAGATGGCACAGTGAGCCCGACTCTGTGTTCCAGCTCACCGCATCCCCACCAGCCCGGGCCACTAGCGCTCTCGGTGTAGTTCAATAATCTGGGGTAAATCATTCCCTCAAGCTTCCTTTGATTGGCATTCCTTTAGCCACTGGAGAAGAGGAATGTTTTTTGCATGCTTTTGTGTCCTATGATCACAGTGCTGAAAATAAACTGAAAAAGGCAATAAATCTGAGTTAAATTTATTGAGTATTCTCATCAATGACATCGATTCGACCGACTGGCCGGAGGACGTTGATGTGATCCTGGTGCAGCGACCTCATAGCGATGGTAAGTCTCTGGTCTCCGCCCCAGTTCCGCTTAAGGAGGCCATCTGTGTGCAGTGTAGCATGGGACGCCCCAGCAGTACAGTGCACTGCTTTGTGTTGTCAGAAGACATTATCCCTGCCCCTCAGAGGAGGACTTTGCGGCTGAGGGGACAAGCCACTTCTCCGAGGTCAGACAGGCAGTGACTTGGTGGAGCCAGGGTCTGAGTCCAGATCAGACTTTCTGACAGCGCAGCACCCACCAGCGTATCCCTACTAACCCGCCCCAGGTAGTTCTAACGAACAGCTAATTAAAAACCCCCGCAGTCCTTCTGGCCAGCAGAGCTGAGCGCTGATTCTCAGGAGTTGAATTCACTGATGAGTTCAGTCGGATATGAGGCTGTCCCATGGCTGTCACAGCAGTGAGATTCCATAAAACATGAGACAGAGGGAGGCATCCAACCTGCTAATGTGGCCTGGGCCTGTCTCTATTGTCGCGCAGGAACCAGATGTAATTACCTCTTGCTGACTGGTTTCATTAAGATTTAAGAACCACTCATTCTTTTGGATGCACATCTAAATGTGTAATCACCGTGATAAAATCGACTGGACAGAAGTCTGTGGATGTGCTAATTAATAAGACACAGCTCTTCTTTTAGTTGTTTGGAAAGTACCTTTCCAAACATTCCTTTGGGCAGCTAATGTGTCTTTTAATTTTTTTTTTTCCCTTTATGCCCTTAATGAGGTCTTGGTTTCAATCAGATCTGAGAGAGTCCTGCTGAACAATGCTGTTCTGTGAACACAGTAATTTGATAGGAGCTTAGTGGCTGGGGACCCTGGTGCAGCCAGTGTCCTCCTCCTCGTTAGGTGCTGGATGCAGCCAGCAATCCTAAGCAGTTTTCTAACTTGGTAATTGGAACATTTAGGGTGAATTTCCATCATCAGTGGGAGTAGGTACACTAAAATACCTGATTCCAAAGTGCACGCACAGGAATTGTGAGTGGGTGGAGTGCAGCATGTTGATTTCTGGGGAAATGTGAGTTTGAGGGTGAAGACCCCTATCACTCACCACAAATGCCATCACATCACAGCCACATGATGCAGGGTATGTGACAGGGAAAGGGACTTGTTCAAATAGATTTTGTTGGCTGGTTGGTTGGTTGGATTTTAATCTGTTCCACCAACTGTCTAAGTACCCTGCACCTGATAACATTGAACATTTACAAAGTACCTGGTTTGGATCAGTCCCTGAATGAAATGCTATTTCTCTCTCTCTCTGTCTCTCTCTGTCTCTCTCTCTCTCTCTCTCTCCTTTTTGTTGTTGTTTGATGGTGCTGGGGATTGAACCCAGGGCCTTGTGCATGCTAGGCAAGCTCTCTACCAACTGAGCTACATCCCCAGCCCACTACCATTTAACTCTTACATCCTACGATTATTATAATCCCAATTCTACAAGTAAATAAGGAAAAGGAAGCCCAGGGAGTTTATGTTACTTGTCGAACATGTGGAAGCTATAAAATGACAAGGTCAAAAACTTTTAAGTTTAGCGTATAACACCTAAAGAGAAAAGTGTAATTGGATAGGTTTCCGTGAAGTGAGCTCACTCATGGAACCCCACCCAGGACAAGAAACGGCACAGAAGGTGCCTGGGACCCAAGCACTCTCAGCCCTTCCAAGGGTCACCCCATCTCATTCTAACACCACCCCAGGCTCGCCTGTGTGTGAGCTTTCATGTCAATAGACTCATACAACACGTGGCCTTCTGTTTGTGGCTCCTTTCACCTACAGAGAGGAGAGAGGTGGGAGAGGGTCATTCTTTTGCAGGGAGGTGGAGGGAGGGCCTGTGCAAGCTAGGCAAGCACTCTGCCGCTGGGCTGCACCCCCAGACCCAGAATCGATTCTCAGGCATGCCATAGGAGAGTGTCATTGCTTTTCTTCTGCCACTGTTTATCAAAAAGACATTCACGGGCCCCTGCTCCGCTGCGTGACTTCTGCCATAAATCAGTGTCCCTCCATGGGGATCTTCAGGCTTTCTGACTTGTTCTGATCATCTATTTTTTTCTCTTCTTGTGTCAATAGCGCACTGAAGTCTTGGTACCCAGTTGAGAAACTCTTCCAAATTTTTCTTCTTCAGAATTGCTAGGTAATTCTAGACTCATTGCATTATCATGGAACTTTTAGAATTAGCTTATTAATGTTCATAAAATGCCTGCTGGAATTTTAGTTGGGATTGTATTGCATTGGGACAGATCAATTTGGTATATAACATCACATTTTAGTCTATGAACATCTCTCCATTTATTTAGGTTTTATTTCAAGTTTTTAAATATTATTTTATTGTTTTTAGCATAGTAGTCTTGAACATATTTTGTCAGATTTTCTGGTTGTTAGATTCTTAAAATGTTATCTTTTTTTTTTTTGTACTAGGGATTGAACTCCGGGATACTCAGGCACTGAGCTGCGTCCCTGTATTTTATTTAGAGACAGGGTCTCACTGAGTTGTTTTGTGCCTCGCCATTGCTGAGGCTGGCTTTGAACTCTCTATCCTCCTGCCTCAGCCTCCTGAGCTGCTGGGATTACAGGTGTGCGCCACTGTGCCCGGCTCTACTCATTTCTTTATTTTTATTTCTTTTTACTTTCTTTGAGACTAATTTGTAATTAAACTCAATGAATTTTCTAACTTCATATTTATTTTTAGCCTTTCCCAACACACTTTCCTGTAAACTTAAGTTCAGTTATATCCCACAAATTTAGGATTGCACTATAATTCAGCTCAAAATATGTTCTAATTTCAATTTTATTTATCTTTCACTTGTGGTTTACTTAGAAGTGCATTTTCAAATTTTCAAACACATTGGGATTTTTCATTTATCTTTTTGTTGTAGATTTCTTAGCTAAAGAAAAAGATAACATGGTATATGTACTTCAAATCTTTTGACATTTTTCAAGACCTGATTTGAGTTAGCATGTGGTCAGATCTTATGAAGATCCGTGTGAGCATCAATGTGTTCCCTCTGGCCACTGGAGTACCAGATTCTTCTGTGTCATTTGGATCAAGTTTGTTAAGTAAATTTTTCAAGTCACCTGTGTTTGTTCTGATTTTTATCTATTCTATCATTTACCAAAAGAAATATGTAAAATTTTCCTACTATCGTTGTAAATTTGCTTACATCTCTTAATAATCTATCCATTTATACTTCTTATAAATTGAAACTGACCTTGGCACTATGTAATAGTGACTGAGGAGGCTGAGGTAGGAGGATTGAAAGTTCAAGGCCGACCTCAGCAACTCAGCAAAACCCTATCTTAAAAAATAAAATAAAATAAAAAGCAGGAAGATCTGGGGATGCAGTTTAGTGGTAAAGCATTCCAGGGTTAAATCCTTAGTACAAAAAAAGTTAAAAATTGAAGTGGTGCTTTTAAGGTGTATACAAATTTCTGAATTGCTGTATCTTCCTGGAGAGTTGGATATTTTGTAATTATGATCTGTCCTCCCTTCTTGCTCCTTGACCTAGAGTCTATTTCGTCTGATAATAGAGAGCTAAATTAGTTTCTTCTATTTGTATGGCACTATTTTTTCCAAACTTTTCACTTTTTTTTTTTTGATACTAGAGATTAAACCCAGAGGCACTTAACTACTGAGCCTCATCCCCAGCCCTTTTTATTTTTTATTTTGAGTCAAAGTCTTGCTAAGTTGCTGAGCGTTTCCCCAAGTTGCCCAGGCTGAACTTGAACTTGCTCTGGTTTGAGGAGCTTGCGGCGGGGCCCCCATTGACGTGAACCCTGCTCTTCTGAGCACCCCTGGGAGAACCTGGTAGGCTGTAGGAGCCTAGGGAGGTCTTGGCTAGAGGACCTAGAGGGGCAGCAGCATCTTGTAGCCATCCCACAGATTTGGGGTGGTATCAATCAGTAAATGAACCAGTCAGTGTCTAAAACTGCTTTTGTAGGAAGCAGACGTGGACATCAGGAGAAGCATGAAGACCTGTGCACACCCTCAAACCAAGCCGGGGCCCACGGAGCTGTGGCTGCTCTCACGGCGTGGATGCTCTCTGGAGCAGCGCCTGCCCTTCTCAGAAGTCAGGGGCCTCCGGGTAAGAGAGTTTCCTTGGCATGTGCCCAGGGACTATGGCTCAGCGAGGACCTCCTCACTGGTGAGAGCCGGGCAGGCGGGCGGTGTGGCTGCCCACTTTCTGGGAGTGACTACTTCTGTGATTCTGTCCTCGTCACCGGTGCTGTCCCGGGCTCTGCAGGCTGAATTCACACGAGTAGACAGGGGCCCGCGTGCTCCTGTGCTCTGGACCACACTACAGCAGTCTGGGTTTAGAGGAGCCAATGTCCCTGCACTGCCCCCAGCCCCCAACCGGCACCACCATCGCCCTGCCAGGGTGACTGCTGAGAACAGGAAGTGCTGACCGAGGCCACCCAGCTACTTGGTATTCTGGGGAGGAAGGCAGCAGGAGGCAGAATCCTCAGCTGAACCTGCTTGGCCACTCTGAGGCTGCAGGGCGCTTGGCAAAAGGGCCAGGAAGTGAAATAACAAAGTTTCCAAAGGCCTACACTCAAGGTGGCCTGGGCCATGCAGTGGCCTCCGCCATCCCCACTCGGTGGAGAATCTCTGGGGACCAGAAAAGGGAGAAAGCTGCTGTGCTGAGGTCAGGAGTCAGCCTATAAGAAGCCAGCTCGAGGGGTAGAGGACGGGGCACCTCACCAGCACCACCAGCAGCTTGCTGAACACTGCCCCCTCACAGTGCAAATGACTGATGACAGCCCAGGAAGTGCCCAGCCTCAAGGTCAGATCCTCGGAGAGTGATCCCTGAGATGAGGGAGGGGAGGGGAACCACAGTCACGTTCGTGGGTGGGCCAACAAACTACTGGTCTCCCCCATTTCCTGGGAGTCAGACCCCAGAATGTCAATCCTATTAACACTGACAAGTGAAAGAGGCCTGAGACGCACCAGGTGCTTGGCTCTGGGCTGACAGAGGCCCTGGTGCACACACCCTGCCCCAATGCCCACTCCCAGGCCGGGCCTCCTCAGACCTGTCCTCAACTCCTGGCTGACTCCTCTGAGCTGTGCTCAGGTGGGCATGAGGAGGGCGTGGCAGGGCAGGGCAGCCGGCTGCTCCACCGGGCACCTTAGGGTCCCTGCTGGGTCCACAGGGGAGCTGATGTTGTGCAGGCCTTGAGAACCCAGGGGCCCTTCAGCAAAAGCTACCCACTTGCAAAATCCTGCTGACTCAGCCCCTGAAGGCTGACCAGGCTGAGGTGGCCCCACCTGCTCAGAAAGTTCACCAGAGCAGGTCAACGGCAAGGATGGCACACGGCGGCGCCTGTCTACTGCCTCTTCTGGAGAGTGAGCCAGAGGCCGCTCTGATGGGGGTCTTCAGGTGGCGAGTGTAGGGGGCATCTGGGCCGGAGCATGGAGACTGGCATGGAGGCGGAGGTCTGAGGGCAGGTTGGGGCGAAGGCGCCATCTGGCCTGCTGCAAGGGGTGGCAGAGGGCCAGGGGCAAACCCACCCACACCCACTTCATCTACAGCAGGAGGAACAGTGAGAGGAACCCCAGACACATTGACTTTCCCTTGATCCCCAAAGACATTCTTCCTGTGCGGCTATTGAGATGCAGACATGGAAAGTGGATATTTGGGGGTCAGTAGGAGGGAATGGCCTGGCCCCACGGACGGGTAGGGAGACAGGGATGCTAGGGAGACAGGGGGCCCCAGAAATCCCCAGGGAAGTTCTGGGAGTTGTAGGGACTTTTCTCCAACCCTCAGTCCCTTCCCCAGATAAGACTTCCAGTTCCCCCAGCAGCCCCAGGGACTGTCCCCATGGTTTGTGGACACTAAAATGTCCAGAATGTCAGGCTCATGTGAAGCTCTGTAGGCAGCTTCCCCAGCCCTGCAGGGGAGTTTTTAATGGAAGTGTCATGATTATTGCTGCTTTTGGAGTATTACCCTCCTCTCTGCAGGGCCCTTCTATCCCCTCCTATTTAGTGTGTGTGTGTGTGTGTGTGTGTGTGTGTGTGTGTGTGTCTGCTCACCCTCAAAAGGTGGCCACCAATAGGTGCTACAAGGACCAGTCCCAGAAGCTGGGTTCCAACCAACCGTGTCCACAGGCTCCATGCTGGGTGGCCTTAGACCAGGCTCATGAGCACTCTCTTGACTCTCTTGGCCTGTCTTTACTCATTCAACTTTAAAAAGGATTTTAACCCTTTAGGGGTGTCCAAAAATCAAGGGAAAAGATGGATGTAAAAGGAATCCATCCATGATTACTCTTTAGATGGAAAGGGCATATGTACACTTATTTATTTGCTATTATTCATTCAGTCAACAAATATTCTTGGTACTTGGTACCAAGAAGTCAGCAGAGAAGGAAAGACAACAGATGTGGCCCTTGTTCTCAGGAAGCCGGCAGCTCAACGGGAAAGGCAGACATGATATAGAGATTGCGGTCCATGTCACGAAGGGTCAGGTGGGAGCCGTGAGCTCTGAAGTGGGACCAGAGGGACACTTACGGGGACAGTTCGCCAACATGACCTAGAGGATGGGCTGAACTACCCAGGTCAGCCCTGGAGGCTGAGGCTCAGCAGAGGATCTGAGCCTGGGAGTCTGTCCACAGGGGACCAGACACTTAGGCTCATGCGTCAGAGTAAGACCAAGAGCCTGGCATTCTGCCCACACAGGGATGGAGCCAGTGGTAGCAGATGGGTCCTGGGCATGCCGGCCATGTCAGAAAAGGTGCTGTAGGAAAGGGGGGCCCAGGGCAGGATGGGGAGTCCTTTGGGGGAAATGGTAGAACCATCAGAAATCCAGTTCCCGGAGGACCAGTTACAAGGGTGGCATCTGGGCCAGGCAACAGTGTCCCACAGGGCCCGGCCACCAGGCATGGCCCCCTCCCCACCACACCCAGGGCCAGATCATATAGCTTTGTCTCTTTTATCTCTGGCCCCAAGCACCACCCAAGGACTCTGGCTTTCCCGTGGCCACTCTGTTCAAGGTCAGGATCCTATGCTGTTACTCCATGGGGCCATGATGGCTCTGGCCTCCTTCTGAGTACACAGCAGGTTTCAGAGTCTGGGACCACAGTGATCTTCTGGACGGACGTTCAGTGGTGCCGGAGCGGTGCACCTGTGTGCTGAGCACACGGCGAGGAAAAGCCAGAGGCTTGAGATGTTTGGAAACAAGCTGCCCCTTGTCCTGTATGCAGAACTCCCCAGGCCAGGATTGCCAGGGGCCAGTCGCCCCAGGCACCTTCCCAAGGGACTTTTAAGGCAATAACAGACACAAACCCTTAAATGGGTCTGATATTATAGCCCTGTAATTACAGAGAACAGATTCCCGGTGGCTCTTGACACCCGTTCTCCATCCTTAAGCGGGTCCAGGCCCTGAGTGCTGTCCTCACTGGGCAGTGGGTGCTGTTTGTGTTCGTTTTCAAGGGAAGGACACAGATTCAAGGCAGGGGGACCTGGCCCATGGGCAGCACACAGCCGGCCACACTCACAGCTGCTTTAAGCAGCCAGTTCTGCTCTTGACCTTGGACTTGGGCTGGGATCATTTGTCCTTGGTTCCTTTCACTCTTCTGACTAAGAACATGAAACCATCAGGATCCTCGTTTGCGCTTGTTTTCAATCTCTGCAGCTTCACTACAGGCTGATCCAGGGCTCTGGCTGCCCCCACGTGATTCTGCGGCCACTGCCCGACTCCACGGATGCTGACGTCAGCAAAACCACGTGGAGAAGGGTCTTCTGCAGCTGGACGCTGCCCAGGCGTGTGGTGGGAAGCCAGCAGGTAGCCTCTGGCCTCAGACCTACATCCAGACAAGCTCATGATGATTCCTGGGAGAAGCTGCCCCAGAAAAAGAAAGGAGCTTTCTGAGAAGGAAACAAGTGACCCAAGATGCCTCCTTTAACCAAGAAGAGCCAGGGAGTGACACACAGTCCTGGGTTCTAGAACCACCATTGGACTGAAACAAGTGTCCCAACGAGGAGCACAAAGGACACCACCTTAAGACTTAGAGGAGGTACGTACTTAATGGTGTTAAGTAAAAACCACGGGGCTGCAGGTGGAGCATTGCAAAATGGAAAAAATTACAGAAAGCCATTGTTTTGGTCTAGGCTTCTGCACTGGCCCCAGCAGACCAGCTAAAACTGAAAATGGAGTCCCTCAGGCTAAATGCCACATCACCACCCTGAAGCTAAGCTGTTTATCTGACCTGTTGAAACTAAGCTCTTTATCTGACCTTTGAGAAATCAGGATTAGAGAGATAATAGCCAAATTTCCCAAACAAGCTGGTTTCGTGATGGGATGGCGTGATAGTGAAGTTCCCTCTGCTTTAATCTTCGCAGAAAAGAAGTCACCTGAAATAACCTGATGTTATTTACCAACGGCCGTTTTTCCTCTTCTGCCCCCTTTACTTTTGTTTCTTCCTTTCTTTCGTCTTTGTCTGTCTATAAAATTCACCTCTTCTGCTCAGACCATGGGGATCCTTTTCTATTTTGTGGAAAGAAGCACTGCCAGGATCCTGCAGTGGGAAATAAAGGTTCACTTGTGCCGTCAAGCGAACCTTTGCCATTTTGCCTTTGGTGATGGAAACGTCTTTCTTAACTCTGAAGCCCCTTTGGGTGGGACTCCAGCCCCCACTTTCCAAGAACGAAGCGGCCTTGCTCTGCGAGCAGCTGAGAAGCTTTGCGGAGACCATCTCTGTGGAGCACATGATTTGAAACCATAGCTAAGATGATGTACTGAATTGGTATGAGTCAGAAATCAATTAAGACTGAGCAAGCAATGTGGTTTTATTTTCCTGTATCACTAGGCCTCATTCTTCTGGGCTCTAACAGCTAATCTCAGTCACACTGGAGTGTCCCTCCCCTCTCTGTGGTTCTGGAGAGTCCCAGGAGCAATGTGGTTGTGGTGGGATGACAGGGTGTTGAGCTTCTGGGAAGGGGGACATCTCGTCCTCACTGTCATCTTCTCTCACCAATGCTTACGTGTTGTCAGCTTGTGGTATCAACAGAAACTTCCCCTGTCCCTCGTAACCTGTGGCCAAGCACAGCCTATCCACAAGCCTCTCGTGCTGTCCACACAGTCGTCCACTAGCCCTCTCCTGCATGTGGCCCATTGTTGCTCAAGGACACCATTCAGTGGCTCCTGTCTTATGCTAGGGACAGAGGTAGGCAAAGATCCAGTCTTCCTGGTCACTTCATGTCCCCTTGTCATTTTGAAAGGGTAAAGTTTCTAAGCTGGAAGGCTTGAATTAAAATGTAAAAGATTAGGTATTGTTGAGTTCCTCTGTTACACCCAGATTCCTGAGATAGTTAAAACAACACCCTACTGGCCATTTAGCCTAGGGCCCTGTGCAGTTTGTCACAGGGCCCAAACCAATCAGTTTGAATGTGTAACCCGCTTAGGAATGACCAATCACCCCCGCCCCACCTGTTCCCGCCAATGAATGTGCCAATCACGTCTCAGAGTTGTTGTTCAATTTCCCCGAGCCTCATGATGATTTGTTCTGATGTATGCAAAGCCCACCGCCCTCTCCAGAAAGTGTACTTAAGCTCTGCTTGACCTCTGCTCAGGGCTCTGGGCTGCTCTCCCTCCTTGAGTGAGCACAGAGTCCCAGCACACTGGAATGGATCCCCAATAAATATCCCCTTTTGCCAATTGCATGGAGTCAGCCAATTGCATGGGTGGTCTCTCCCTCCGACGTTTCGCCAGACCCTTACATTTTCACACCATTTCTTCTCCTAGAAGCCATGGCTGTGTTTCTACATTAGGGCACCTACCAGCTTCTGGGACTTTGGTGCCTCTCTGTGACTCACAGCCTAAGGATCAACCACTCTGCCTCCTTCCTCCAGAACCTGTGCCCAAGTGCCCACCTGCCCCCCATCTTCGCACAAAAGGGCCTGGGAGGTGAGCCGTGAGGAGGCCGACCCTCAGTCATGCTCTCCCTTCCCAACTCTCTGCCAAATGTTGTCTGCACCCTGATGCTCTCTGGATTTCTGTTTTTTTTTTTTTTTTTTTTTTTTTGTACCAGGGGTTGAACCCAGGGGCACTTTATTAAGCCACATGCCAACCCTTTTTACTTTTTGAGACAGGGTCTCTCTCACTAAGTTGCTTAGGGCCTAAATTGTTGAGATGGGCTTGAACTTGCAATCCTCCCACCTCAGCCTCCTAAGTCCCTGGAATTATAGGAGAGCCCCACCACACCCAGCTCTTCTGTTATGATGTTTGTTTTTTCTTGGATTTTTAGATGGTGTTTGTGCATAGGTTCGTAGTAGTCGATATTTGGTCTTCAGTTTGAAAAAGACAGAACATTTCCCTCAATCCAGAAGTTTCCCTCATAAAATGGCCTAGACTCAACAAAATCCAGAGCCCAGCAGCCCTCCCCAGTGTGTTCCTCTGTCCCACTCTGCTCTTTCACTTTGCTAATGTAAGGAACACACCCTGGACCTACCTGCAGCTACCTACAAGGCCAAGGTACTTAAAGAGACAGGGTGGGGGACCATGAAGCTGTAGTTCCAACTATATCCTCCACATTAACTCCCGGTTACAAAGTTACATTCATGCTGTGCCTTATAGTTGACCAAGGACTTTCACACTGTTTGTCTCAGCTACTGTTACAGCGACCCACTGTGTGTGTGTGTGTGTGTGTGTGTATGTGTGTGAGTGTATACACAAATTATCGTGCCCATACTTCAGGGGAGAAAAGTGAGGTCCAGAGTGGAGAGGTGACTTTGAAATGTCCCACAGCTGGTAGACATTGGAGACCAGCCAAGGTCCAGATCCAAGCCACCACAGTTCTGTTTCCAGGGAGCCTAATAATTCCAGGGTTTGGAATAGAGAATACAACAGGCGGTGGCTGGTACAGAAGATTCTGAGGGGCTCCACTTATCTGAGCCTCCTGAGCCCCTAAGACAGGGCTCCCTCCTTATATGCCCCAGTAGGAACACCTACACGTCAAAGACCTCAGAGAATCGGCCCTTGGAGTGCATCTGGAAGACAAGGCCTGGCAAATGAGCTTCCAGGAGGAAGGAGACTAGGAATAACCACAGGGTAGACGCCGTCCAGAGCCCAGTCGGAGCCCAGCTCCTGGCCCCACCCAGCTTCCTCACTGAGAAGCTGTGCCGGGCTGGGCCCCTTCAAGCTGATTTTAGCCTCAGTTTTCTCACGTGTGAAAGAAGATAATAACAGTGTCATCCTCCAAGGGTCTGGAGAATCACATGAGCAGGTAAAACCCTCACCTGCGGCTGCATGGGCATGTGCTAGCCAGTGGCATTCTTAAAGGAGGATGTGAAAACAGAGACACGGATATTTCACTGGAGTGTCACTAATGCTGCAGAAAAGCTACAGGACGGTTCTGCTCCTAAACCCCCTGGGTGCAGTCTCACTGGGGGAAGCTCTGGGCAGAGGCCAACGCTCCATCTCCTGGTGAGAGTTGAGCCAAGGAGAACCGCGGTGCTGCCCGAGAAGTAGGCCAGCTGAACAGAGCTGTGAGAAAGCCCGGCAGGTCTGAGCACGCCCCCTCCGTGCCACTTGGCAGGCAGGCAGGAAGGCGCGAGAGGACAGACGGCTGGCTTGGGCGACTCTGGCTTGGGCGACTCGGCTGGGCAGGGCTCCCCAGAGCAGCCCATCCCAGATGGAGGTGGGACTGTGGCCAGGGAGGGGAGAAGGTCAAGGGCACAATGGGGCTGAGGGGCCAGCATTTTGTTTTTTCTTTTCCCTACAAAATTGGAACCTGAAAGAGCTTTCAGTTCACTGAGGCAAATCATCAGGTCTACAAGATCAGAAGCCACGACTGAGATTCCAGCACAGAGCCTGGCCCTCCCTTCCCCGAGGGCCCCCCGACTACTCGGGGCCCTTAGACTGAAAGTCCAGGACAACGGAGCCTGTTCTGACCTCTGCACCCCCAGTGACAGCCGCCCATCAGCACCTGCGCACTGAAGCCTGAAGACGTGGATGTTGTGAGAACGTGGCCCCCAGCCCCTAGTCATTTAGCACTGCACAGGGACCTGTTTTCTAAAATGTGATGATTTTAGCCTCATACATTTTTCTTTCACCTTAGTTTGCTGGTTTAAGTGTCTAAGCCATCACACAATTCCGTAGGTATGCAGCACAGAGATGGAATTCTGCTAAGAAGCAGGATAAGAAGAAGAACTAACAACCCTGTGACAGTTCACAGCTTACAAAGCGCTTTTGTTGCCACTTGACTGTCTTTGGCTTTGGAGGAAACTGAGCCAAAGGACATGGAAAAGGTCATTCATTAACTTGGAGATGCAGAAATGACCATGAGATAAGTGTTTACAGGTAAAACCAGGTGGGTTCTGGGACTTCACCCCCCTGCACCATTTCCAGCAGCAAGTGAGTGGATCACCAGCAACAGCTGCAGGGAACAGATAAAAGGAGGGGAGAAGAGACTCCTCTGCTCCTTGGTCCAGTGGCTCTTTACCAACGAGCGAATCTGTCCTGTATAGGAGACCTGGCCCAGAGCAGCCACCAGATGGGCGCTGCTCAAGAGAGACACTTGGCTAGGTGACTTGACCCGTCTTGGCAGGCGACCCTGTGGGACGGGGAGGGAGGCAGGCTCAGGGTGGAGTGACAAATGAGGCCATCGCCTTATTGCCTGGGCCTTCCCTGGGTGCACTTGGAAGAGGCTTCTCTCTCTTCCCAGGGTGGGGAGAATTAATTAATGTTTGCAAAGACCTTCATGATACTTGCCCAAAGTGCTGGGCCAGCTCTGATTACCCAAGGGGCAGGCGCCACTCTCTCCTATCTCTGCTCCGCATCTCAGCCCTGGAAGATGTCAAACGAGTTCCTTGGCTGAGGTGGGAATCAGCTGCCGTCATCAAGAATCCAGCTTGTGTAATTTCCTGTCTGCACCTCCAGAGGCTTCCCAGGATTCCACAGCCTCGAAGGGAAACAGGGTCTCGTTCAGGGTCTCCTTCATGCCATCAGACCTGCAGCCCAGCCCCACCCGGGGGGAGGCAGCTGCCTAGCAGGGATAAATTTGCAAGCTCTGGAAATGCCCCACACATCCAAAACCCACTCCCCGATTACTACCCACGAGGGCTGGAAATTCTACCGCTAAATATTCACTCCTTTGGGCTTGGAGCTTTTTTGAGGCGCTTAGGATGTTGTCATGGAAAGAGAGCAAGACCAGCAGTCTGAAAACCGGATCCCAGGTGTCCTGCCCTGGTCCGGCACTGGCTCTGCCCCCACTAGCCTGCGGTAAGCCCATCCTCTCTCGCCCTGACGTATTTTTCCCATCTAAATGGCAACGCTAATGCCTGTCTCCAGGGCCTTTGCAAGTGAGGATCAGACGAGATAATGGATGTGAAAGCCAGGAGCTGCAGGAAGGAGGAAGCATCATTACTACAAAAAACGCTGTCAGCCCACACTGGATAATCCTGAGGGATTAGTCCATGGCTCCCGAGGAGCAGTGAGCACGGGCCTGTGGGAGGAGATCTACGACGAGGGAAGGGAGGGGCTCTCCTGCTCGCACAACCACCAAAGTGTGGTGCCAGGCGAGCCCAGACGCCCACGGGCCCTTACAGGGTACCAGCTCAGCCCCAGCTTCCGGGTGCCCAGATGCACAGGATGTCCTCATGAAATGGACATTGATGGTCACTCACTGAGTTAAAGGACCAACAAGAAAAATAACCAGATGTGTCTGGATCTCCGCAGACGCATCCCTCAGGTAACTGAGGCAAAGAGGCCCAGCCTTGGCACGAGCGGCCCGTGTACGTCAGACCCGAGTAATTGCTTTCTTTGTCAGAATTTCCTGGATAATTTCCTCTCCTTTGTTTGGCTGATAGAACCTGGCCTCGCATCTGGGAGCCTGCTTGCCAAACATGATTGGGTCCTTGGAGATGACAGATAGAGAGTAAGCTATTTTCCATAAACACTTTGGCACACATATTAATTATCACAAGGGAGAAAATCTGTCTGTGGGTTTCATCTGGGAGGCAGCGTGATGTAGTGGAGAGAGAAGAAGGGACCACACCAGACACTTCCCATCAGGAACCCGCTGGGACCCAGGCAGACTGGGGAGCTTTTGCTCTGAAAATCTCAGTTAATTCTTACTGAGCCCTGTGAGGCAGACTCCAGGAAGACAGAACCTGGGTGCAGAAGCGCATCTCGGTGGGTGTGATCTGGTACAGTGAGAGCCAGGCAGGCGGCCTGCGGGCCAGGGATTCAGTCTTCTCACCTGCTAAGTGGACGTCCTAGGGGCTTCGGAAGGGCCGGGAGGACTAACTGCAGCTGCCATGGAGCAGC